ATTTATTCCATCTCTAATGACTCACATATCAACTTGGCCGTTAAATCTGCGTGCAAAATTGGTGTAAATTCAATTACCATCAGAGAGTAACTGATCAAGTGAACATCCAAAAATCGTAGAAGGATAGCGGGGACCCATACGAGATTTTGAATATCCGGATTTTAAGCCTCGGTATTTACGAGCTTAATGTCTCCCTTTTCAAACCTGGTTGGTTCTGTCTATTTCTATTTCTACTAGATTGCACTGGGCACAATAGAAATATTTTCTTGATTTCTCTGTGTGGTGGGTCTGCCTCCTCCCTCCTAGTGGGTCGAAATGGGGTTGCACTCTTCCCCCTTTGAAGCCTTCAATCCAATCACAAATGACTGCTCTACATGGTGCAGAGTTCCATCAACCTGTTGTAAAGTTTCTATGACCTGAGAGATTGGCAATTTCTTTTATTTCAAAATGTTATGTTAGATCTGATCTCCAAACTTGTCATGTGAAGTACTGAAAGTTGCTTGGCAATTTGAGATGCAACCTGTCTTGAACCTGACCTTGCACAGAATGATCGGACAGTTGTGCGTTATAGAGATGTCTCTAAAGACATGTTTGAACTGGTAAAACTTATAAATCTTTGTTCTATTTTAAGTTATGGCAATTATCCGGAAACATTTTGTTTCACTTTGTATTTTACCATTAAAAGTTATCGTTAGACAACCAAAACAAGATAGAATTGCGATTGAAATGAGCAAACGATATAGTTTAAAATTAGGTGGTTTGTTACCTCTCGTTCTGTGAATTTATTTGTTCTCGCATCACCACATTGTTAGCACTTTTATCAGCATCTTTTTCAATCTAATTAACTAACTTTTAACTGAAATATGTTATGATTAGTTATCGTTTATTTAAATGCAAGTTTGTGTTCGAATGTTATTACCCGAATAATTAAAATAATTTGGAGAAGGGGTAAGGAGAATTATTTACTAGGATCGGATACCAAGTTGAACGAAATTAGTAAAATTCATCCTGGTTTGTAGGTGGTTTGGGCTATTTCATTTTCATATAAAATTCTTCAAATTTGCTCATTATATCTTTACAGTAATCTTTTTTAATAGACAACCAAATTTACTGACTTATAAATAATAAAGGCTACCAACTTAAGAGTACAAACACAGATATTTACGAATTATTGGATCTATTGCGCATTATAGACCGAAACATGTCTTGAACGTAACCTAGGAATTGCCCATGCGGTCGGTCAAAACATTCCGAAGTTTCGTTTCGGACACCTTTATCGGATACCTCATAAGCTAGCATCCCGAATGTACCTAGAATCTCTGAATAGTTTTCATATAAAGGGTGTCGTTCTCAGCAGAGTAACAACTGAACTTTGCACCACGAAATACAGCAATGCATTTACAAGCATGTCCTCATCCTCCATTTTCGTGCAAATAAACATCTTCAAGAACCTTGTGTAGTGTGGTTTAGAATTCCAAGGCTGATGTTTCACCTATTTTTTCAACCTATCAGCTCTTCTTGATACAAGTCAGATACGTTTCAGGATCTTTATTTATCACATGAATCGGTTAAGCCACAAGCAACGCTGCCTGAAGCTCTTTTCCCCTTAAATCAAGAAATACGTAAGGACAATGGCCTAGTTTTAGAGCCACTTTTATTTATCGATTTTATTGGCGAGAAAACAAGTTGATTGATGAACAGGTGGTTTAGTTGAAAGAAAATCGGTAAATATCGATCGAGCAAAATGCACTGAGTGCCTAGGGAGATTTTATTTAGGGCGTCAGGTAAACCCGTACGCTGGTGGGGATGAAAGCAGGAAGTGTTTGATTGCAACCCATCTTAGTTATTACGTGAATTCCGGTCGTGATCAAATTATTGCAATTACAGGTAACATGTGAATAGAAAAAGGGGAATAAGATTAGGAGGACTGAAAATGGGCTAAGTCAGTCAGATCCACTCACTTTGCCAAAGCCAAACCCAACCAACACACTAGCAATTGGGCGTGTCTCTGAGGAATGGAGTGTTAGAGAGCGAGGTAGAAAGGGAGGCTAGTGAGATTCAAGTCACAACAGGGTTGCCATGGTATTCTCTCTTACTCCCTCGCCTCTCTCTTATGATAACGCAATGTAGTACATGTCCCCTTGATTACAATCTTTCCCTTTTTCCGTTCATATTTCCATTGCCTCACCCACCTTTTTAGTATCACCACCACCACCCTTCCAATTAACCGCCAACAGCAATCTTGTTGAGAGGAGAAGAAGGAGAGGGAGGGTTACTGAGAAAGCGGGAGATTGTGTTCTTTGCTCAGTACCTGGGGTAACGCCCACAATATACCCCGTGAACGCGTGCAGAGGTGCTACCCTTGCACGCACAACACGATCAGGGTAAGCGTGCGCTCATCTTGTCTTTGTCTATCATCTCTCTCCACCATCCCCTAACCTATCCGAGCTCGCGAGATATACGGGGAGAATGCGTTTGGGCGTATGCGTACACACACGTTCCCGGGGTGACGCCCCTTCAGCTTCTCTATTTGTGAGCGGTGTTAGGAGTTGGCTTGTTTTGGCCGCGACAATTGATCAATATGGCGGAAATGGTTGGTCGGATCCCCCTTTATATTAAACTGCCCAATTAGGGAGGATTAACGCGAATTGCGCCGATATTGCGGATGAACCAATCCATGATCACACGATTATATTTTGATTCTTTTCAGTCGATACTAAAGGGCGAATGGTTTGGAAGAGGTATTTTTAATTGAGGTCGTTTGATGATTGGCTTAATGGGTAATACAATAGAAGTTTATGAAATGTCATAATACCCGAGCAAATGCGTATGCAAAGCCATAATGATGTCATTAATTTAGTACCACATTTTACTGGGATAAATCAGAAGTTGAATAGTTAGGAATTTGTATTAAAATAGATGTAATGACATGAAGGGTTGTCACTTTTCGATAGCAAAGATTAGGCGAGTCATTGATCTGGCTAAAGTACCAAAACGTAATCGGGTTTGACAGAATGGTAATGATGTTGGTCTGTAAATAGGAACGGTTTATCATGGCCACAATTGTAGCACATTCGGTCATAAATGGTAAGCGAGCTTACTACGCCACACTAACAATTTTATAACTCGCAACTAAAGGTTTCTTCAGATGAAATAAAAACTTGAGAGCCCATGAAGATCACAGCTCTACCAAACTAAAGCTACAAAAACCTCGTGTATGAACAGAAAAAGGCCCTCATTTGCTAATTAATCGAAACGTTCATAAACAGTAGTTACATTAAGCAAAGGCACTACGTGGTACAAGCTTCTTTGTTCGTAACTGCAAACACATGGATCAAACAAAGAAGATAAGCTGAATCCACCCAGATAAGCCAAAAATTCTACGAAAAGCGTCCTACTGACTAATTACAAGTAGCAACGTAAAGCAAATACTAAATACAGCCGGCTAAAAAGGGAAACATTTTCAATAAAAGCGCTTTATATTCGAATAATATTAAAGGCAACAATGGAATTGAAATATTATTTTGAGGTCCAGAGACAAATGCGTTTCAACGAACGGCGTTAACCTAAAATAAAGGAATAAAAAGGTAATTTCGGTGTGACAATGCCACATATGACAATAAATGGGGGAAACGAAACAAAACAACTGGTAGCAAACCTTATTTACGTTCCAGTCTTTAGATAAAGCAATTAGCGATAAACCAGGAGCATGAAGCAAACGTTTTGAGAATAAATTAAATAATTAACTTACTACATCATCAATCTTCAAAATGCTGCGAACAGTTTCTGTTGCCAAAGTAACAGCACTGTGAGTAACTTGAAGTGGTTGCAAAACATTTTCAGCCATCATATCACTGACGAAACCCTGAAACAAAACAGTGTTAATGCAAAAACGACCAAATTAAGATACAAAAATGAAGTTTAAAACCGAGAAATACCTTGCGAACATTGATACCACAATTAACTTCACCATTTGAATGACGCGCTCTAAGCTCAGTGACAGTCTGAATGGGATTGAGACCAGCATTCTCAGCAAGAGTGTATGGAATAACTTCCATAGCATCAGCAAAAGCTCTTAGACAATACTGATCCAAACCAGTTGATTCATTTGCCATGTGGGCCATCTTTTGGGAGATTTCAATCTCTGGGGCTCCACCACCAGCAATCAGCGCACGACGCTTGACAAGACAACGAATGACACATAGAGCATCATGCAGAGATCTGTCAGCCTCCTCAAGTACTAGTTTATTTGAACCCCTCAAAAGAACAGAGACCGTACGACCACGGTTTTGAATTCCAGTGATTTTAACAATCTTAGATCCACCACTTTCCATCTCCTCAACCAGATCGGCTTTTCCAAGCACATCAGGTGTGAGATGATCGACGCTAGCTACTGGCACACACCTAAGTGTCTTGCAAATGAACTCGATCTCATCACGTTCAATATCCTTGACAACCATGATTTTAAGCTTGCCGAAGAAATGCAAAGCTAGATCATTAACGGCATCACGAAGAATGCTCTTTTGGATAAGAATAACATTGGCACCAGATTTCTTGACAGCTTTGACAATGTTAAGAATGTACTGACGTTCTTCCTTCATAATACGATCCATCTGAGTGTAGTCGGTGACAACAACATTGTTCTCCATGTCCGTCTTTGGTGGGGAAATGCAGAATTGAACAAGAGCAATCTTCGCTTTCTCCACACGACGAACACCGCAACCTGACTCAACTCGCTGGCTCAAGAGAAGACCATCAATAAGTTGGGCATCTTCGACTGTACCACTATACAAGAGCGTAAATAATAAAATTTGCGCATATTGATTCAAGAGAAAAAAATCAAAATACACACCCAAGTTTCTTTACAATTCGGATATCCTTAAGATTAACCGCATCAGGATCGTCCATATCAGTAACAGCCAGAACTGAATCGACAGCAATTGGAGATAAAATGCTAGAGTACTGAGAAACAACCTTTGAATTCAAAGAGGTCGAAGCGATTTTAAGAAGCATCTCCCTATCATTGATATCAATAGGTTGGGCCATAGAAGTGATAACCTCACAGGCTTTCTTTGCCGCAAGTTGGAAAGCTTCAGAGATAACGGTAGGATGGAGACCCTTGTTCAAAAGCTTGGAACAGGCGTCAAGAAGACTACCAGCAAGAATAACAACTGAAGTTGTTCCATCACCAGCCTCAATATCTTGAGCCTTGGACAGCTCAACCAACTAGAAACCTTATAAAGTGATACAATTACTGAGTACCATTTTGGCTGCAGGATGAAGAAGCTTCATTTGCTTGAGAATTGTCGCACCGTCATTGGTGATGGTTACGTCCCCTTTAGCTTCTAAGATCTATTAATATGAAAAAATGGCACTAATACATAGAGTTGTAACAATGAATCAGTCTACTAATATTTGCTTAATCATCTAGGAAAAATAACATTCCTAAATATAAAACACAAAATTAATCAATTTAACAATTAATTCTTACTTCAATTATTAAAAAAATAGTAAAATTCGCATAACTTACCATCTTATCCATACCCCTTGGACCCAAACTAGTTCGGATAGCATCGGAAACAGCTAGAAAATATAAGATCCAATATTGCAAAAATACCTTTGGCTGCGACGATGTTACTTTCCCGAATAGCTTGGGGTTTGCTTTTATCAGAAAACTCCTGAGTTTTCTTAGGACCACCAGATGACATCTTAGCGTGTGTCATTCTCAAGTAGAGCGCTTGTTAGTCTTTAGAAATCGAGCCTTTAGTTGTAAAGCCATTGATAACTTAAACAAAATGTGTATACATGCGCAATTATTTCGTGTAAGTTATTTTGTATCAATCAATTATTGTTGTTCAAAATATAAGACAAAAATATATATGCATACAACAATTTAGGCCTTTCATTGGCAATTCGTTTTAAATTACCATTACCTGTCATACGGCAATTTAATATTTTTGGACTGAAAGTAAATTTTTTAATAATTTTCCATCTATTATTAGTGTCTAAGATCGAAGAAATTGTAATGTTTTAAACGCTTTTCGGGCATTTATCGAAAAATTTGTTCATATTTCCGAATTGTCCATCTATGATTTTCGGTGAGATTAATATTCGTGAACGAATTAAGGATATCGCATACTTAATCCAATTTTGAAGGAATTGAAATAAAGATTATAAATATATGTTGTTCACATGAATTTATGTTCTTTAGATTATGAAGACAAACTTTTGCGGTACTTTCATAAAAGTATGAATACCTCTAAATTTCCTTAGGTACATCAAGACAACTTTCGTGCTTCAGATTTTCGATATCTGAGGAACAAAAACGAAGTAAATATGTGTATATATACGAATCTCGGCTTGAATATTTTCACAAATTTGTTGAACTATTCCAAAATACCTTTGTCTACTTTTTAGCTCACGTTTCCTAGTTCTTTTTTTAGCTCATCGTCTTTTCAGCTACTTTTGGTAACATTGTTACACCTTACTACTACCGTGCAACTCACCGATCTAATATTTTGTATGATGGGGAATGCGATAGACTTACCTCCACGTGGTACACCTTGGGTAACGTATATTCATACGGCAAAAAGTCTATTAACTGACAGTTGACTTCTCACTTCAAACTACCATCACCCCACTCTATGTCATATTCGACCATTTCCACAGTAATCTCCTCACCTTTTTTTCTACCTTTGTGTTTGTCTCCCACATCTTTGAAACACTCTTCTGTTCCCCCCTCTCGACTTTTTTCAATTTGATGTTCTTCCCCTCTGTGAAGCCTGAAGTCAACTAAAGGGCTAATGGTAACCACCAAGGCGCCTGCCTTTTGATATAAATAAATAAATATTTTGTATGAATACACCTTTCTTTCTCCACAAACGGCTTATCCAAACTCGAACCATATAAATCACCAA